GAAATACAGCAATGTCAAATAATTATTGAGAAGTGTTTATTCCAGAAATTCAAAAAGAAATAATGCTGAATATTAATATTATCATTATATTAATATTTAGCAGTAATATTGTTCCCAAAATAACAGATTAAAAGGATAAACAACGTGATTATCTAAGTGTTGCAGAAGATATTCAATACAATTTAACCCACATCCTTGTGGGAAAAAAGCACCTAACAGGTCAGGAACTGAAGAAAAAAATATCTTGATAAAGAATATCTTTATTCTTTATCAAATAAGATAGAGAAGATAAGGAATAAAGATAAAGAATATCTACAAGAACCATATAGTAAACATTATACCTAATGATTAAAGATTAAAATAATTTCCATTATTATCCATGACTACACATTGATGCACATTATCACCACTAATATTAATCTTTAAACTTGAATTCACTTACACTTCAAAAACACAAGAAAAAAATAAGAAAGTATATAAGTTTTGGAAAGCTGGAGGAAAAAGTTATTCCCAGTTATTGAAAAGATGTTCTCTAAATAATATAAAGGAATTCACTGAAAAACTATTGATAATATTAAAAGAATTCAATTAGGCGCTCACACATTAAATCAAATTGCATACATCATTGGTCTCCTACACACCACTGATATCCACGGAGAAAATGTAATAGAGCTATCTCAGGTAATATGAAAGACCACATATACTGAAATAAAGTCCTGATTTAAACACTCACACACACAATAGAAGTGCTTCTAGCAAACATCCACTTAAGTGTATGTCAAGACTCACAGGAAAGGAAGGGAAAGGCTCAGGACCAAAAGTAGACAGAGGGCAGGAAACCAGAAAATTGAATACTCCTCCATCAGTGAAAGGGTAAACTGGAAAAAAAAATCCACCGACCAGCAAAGAAGATAAGAGTAAAACTTCTCTGCCTCACCCTGGGCTTTGAGTGGAATAAAGATAATCTCTTCTGACAATTGAAAACCCTGGTGCGAGTTTGGGGTTCAATTTTGTAATGGCTACATGGAATGGGAAGCCCCAAAGTGAAAAATTAACTAAGAGTGATGCAGTGTTAGTAATGCCCTGTGATGCCCAAAAGAACCAAATATTTGCCCTCTCTGAAGGAATGCATGCTGAACCCAAGCCTTCCAAGATTTACACATAAATAGCTCAGCATAAATTCATAATTCAAAATAGCAAAAAGCATGAAGAAACAAGTCCTTATTAGCAAGAATCAAAAGACACAACCAAAACACAATCAGGCTCTCAAGGACTTTGACTACTGGAATAATCAGATATATAATATAAATATTAAAGCTAAAAGAAAAAAATTTAAATGAGATATTTTAAAAACATGAGCAAGAAACAAGGTGATAAAAGAAAAGAAGGAGATTTGTAAAAAGATAAAACAGAACTTCTAGGAATGAAAACTATAAAGAACTGAAGAAACTCCCAGAAATGGATCACATACGTGATGGAATACATGATAGAATACCTGAGAACGGTGGTTAGGAGACACGGAAAAGAAAACAAACTAGTTCAATTAATGATATATGTGACATGAGTTTCAGGAAGAAAAAAATGAGGAGGAAGAGGCACTATTTTATGAGATATAACTGAGAAATTTTCACAACTAATGAAAAATACAAATTCTCAGATTCACAACATATCATGACAGAATACATAAAAAGTAATCCACATATACTCACATTGTAGCAAAATTGAAAATCATCAAAGACAAAAAGTTAATCATCTCTATACACTAACAATGAACTATGAGAAAAAGAAATTAAGAAAACAATGTCACTTACAATTGCAGCAAAGGAATAGCATACCTAGAAAGAAGTTTAACCAAGGACATGAAAGATCTGTTCACTGAAAACCATAAGACATTGATGAAAGAAATTGAAGAAGATATATATAAATGCAAAGATATTCCATGCTCATGGATTAGAAGAATTAATATTGTAAAAGGTCCATGCTACTCAAAGACATCTACAAATTCAGTGCAATCCCTATCAAAATTCCAATAGCATTTTTCACAGAAATAGAAAAGGCAATCCTGAGAAAGAAGAACAAAGCTGGAGGCATCACACTTATGATTTCAAACTATATACTACAAAACAGTAGAATTCTGGCATAAAAATATACATACAGACCAATGGAACAGAATCAAGAGCCCAGAAATAAACCCATGCATATGCAGTCAGTTAATTTACAACAAAACAGCCAAGAATATACAATGGAGAAAGGATACTTTCTTCAATAAATGATCCTGGGAAAACTGGATAATGACATGCATAATAAAGAAATCAGCCCTCTATCTTACACAACTCACAAAATTACTTGAAATGGATTAAAGATTTAAACATAAGACCTGAAACCATGAAACTCCTAGAAGAAGAAACAGTGGAAAAGCTCCCTGACATTGGTCTTGCCAACAATTATTTGGATATGATAACAAAAGCACAGGCAATAAAAGCAAAAACAATAAATGACACCACATCAAACTAAAATCTTCTGCACAACCAAAGAAACAATCAACAAATGAAAAGACTAGCTACAGAAAGGGAAAAAATATTTGCAAATCACATATCAGATAAAATATGTAAAGAACTGATAAACTCAATATCAAAAAAATACACAATCAGATTTAAAAAGGGACAGAGGAACTGAATATTATTTCAAACAAGACATTCAAATTTAATAGGCACATGAAAAGGTCCTCAACATCACTAAACATGAGAGAAATGCAAATCAAAACCACAATGAGATATCACTTCACACCCGTTTGAATGGTTATCATCAAAAAGACAAGAGATAACAAGTGTTGATGAGGACGTGGAGGAAAGAAAACCCTTGTGCACTGTTAGTAGAAATATACGTTGGCACAGCCACTATGGGAAACACTATAGAGGTTTCTGAAAAAAATAAAAATAGGACTGCCATATGATCCAGCAATCCCATCTCTGGGTATATGTCCAAAGGAAATGAAATTAAAGATCCTGAAGAGGTATCAGCACTTCTATGATCATTGCAGCATTATTCACAATATCCAAGATATAATAACAATCTATATGTCCATCAATGGATAGATGGATAAAGAAGATGTAGTCAGTCATAAAAAATAGAAAATCCTTCCATTTGCAACAACATGGATAGACCTTGAGGGCATTATGCAAAGTAAATGAAATCAGATAAAGACAAATACTGTATGACCACATATATACATGGAATCTAAAAATCTGAACTCATAGGAACAGAGTAGAGGGAATGGAAGTTACTAGGTCCTGGGGAGTGGGAGAAGTGAGGAGATGTTGGTCAAAGTATACAAACTCAGGTTATAAGATGAGTTAAGTTTTCAAGATCTAATGTACAGATAGTGATTATAGTTAACACTGTGGTAACAATACTTGAAAGTTGCTAAGAGAGTATATCTTAAATGATCTCACCACCAAAAAGAACAGTGAGGTGATGAAAGTGTTAGCTAACACTAAGATGATAATCATTTTCCATTTAAAAATGTACCAAATCAGGGCATCCAGTGATGCAGTGGTAAACTTTGAATGCTCTGCTTGGGCAGCCTGGAGTTTGCAGGTTCAGATCCCGGGTGCAGACCTACACACAGCTCATCAAGCCATACTGTAGAGGCATCCTGTTTACAAAACAGAGGAGGATTGGCACAAATGCTAGCTCAGCAACAATCTTCCTCAAGCAAAATGAGAGGATTGGCAGATGTTAGCTCAGGTCCAATCTTCTTCGCACACAAAAATGTATTAAATCGACACATTGTATACCTTAAACACACTCAATGATATATGCTAATTATATCTCAGTAAAGCTGGGGGGAGAAGGAATTACCCACCTAAAACACACAACGTGTTTCAAGCAGTTTTAAATCTGTGTAGACTAGTATTAATGTACTAAAACAAGATGGAAAAGCAGGTAAATCCAAACCCATCAGCATTCTGCAAACAGTGGAAGTGCATTCTACATAGGATCAAACCATTCAATAATCTGAGTTAATCTTAAATAACTATTGTGATTTTGTAGACAGCTTTACTAACATACTTATCTAGCGGTAATCCAAATTGAGAGATTCCCATATGAGTAAAGTGTTGGAAAACAGGAAAAATGTGCACTCCCCAAAGTCATCTAAGTCATGTTTCTCTACATGTGGAGACTTATAGCAACATCAGGGGACTATAACAATTCTGTGTGTAATTAGAAACTGGAGTGGTAGCAAAGGATTTGAGGTCCAGTTCTCTACTATTTTTTTGGCAATCTAATTGAAGCTCATTTATATATAGTGTTCTTTGAGCCTCACAAGCCATGAAAACTGGACCCTGGTACTCTCAGGCACAGCATGTGGCATGTTTTAACAAAGTTCTGATTCAGCTATGGATAAGCAGATAGATTTCCTCTACTGACTCTAAGTAGTTTGGATACTAATCAAAATGTGTCCGTCTGTGTGTGTGTATGTGTGTTTACACATGTGCATGTCTCAGTAACTTCCTAATAACTCCCGATGAAACTTCATCATCAAAAGCTGAATCAGGCACTTGACTTTTGCTTCCTTGTCCAATATTATTCCCTTTGCAATTCTTATATTAAGCCTGAGGCTGAGGGATTTGCACATAAGACAGGGACACTGGAAGTTCAAGAAGATGTGATTCTTTGAATCTGCCCTTTCTCTCCTGAGAGAAGAATAAAGACACTAAGATATCTAGTCTTCCAAAAGGCTCTACCTTCAGAAACAATATTTTCCAAGATTAACATTGCCAGTGTTCTGTTCTGCTCTGTACGTACTAACATACAATCAGCAGTTGGAGTTTCAGAATCAAAGGTATTAGGTAAAGATGTTAAGCTTTAGCTAAAGTTAAAGTTATGGATAGTGACATTGAGATGTCGTTATTGATTACACATAAATAGTTTGACTTTGATATTTTCCAGGTATATTAAATGCTTCAGAGACAAGATGATCTTCTCAGTGACAGAAACAACAAAGGTGGGTGTTAACTATTGGAAGAGAGGTGATGTGTTAAGAGGGATTCAGAAATGTGGTCCATTCAGTGTGAGAGAAGGCATCACCCATTTGCTATGATCCTTTGAGTTGCTTATTGATGAGGCAGCCTCAGTCTAAGGTCAACATTTATTGGTTTTCTGGAGCCCCTTTCTGTGAAATTCTCATCTTCAAACAGGCTTTACCAAATACTCTTGTTATGCAAAATTAGACCCCATATAAATAAGATTGAAGGGGGAAACAAAACACTGTTCCTTCCATCCTTTTTTCCATCTTCCCCTTTGTTTCAGCCAAACATAGATGCATAACATATTCCATGTGAAAAAAAAAAGAATAACATTAATACTTCCTAAAGGATGGTGGTGAAAATTCAATAAATCAGCATTTCATAATTATTCACACACAGTAAACACTCAAAAAGTAGTAGCTTTTGTTACTGCTGGAAGTCATATCTCCTAGGTTCGCTCCTATCTCACCCAAATCTACCTCTACTTTTCTCTTGACATTTTACATTTTACCATGCATTATGTTCATCAATTTATGCAAATCATCCACTTTTGCTAGGCTGTAACCACTTTGGCAATGTGATCTCATTTGTTCGTATACATTCGAACATTGCAATAAATGTTCACTTTCTAAGTGTAAGGTGGAGTAAATAGTAATTATAAAATTTCCTGAGAATGATCAATAACAGCTTATAAAATATAGGCGTTATTCTAAAGATGTGTACATAGCTACCTGCTGTGTGATGCCTCTACTCTCTTGGCTTTGAATCACAAAGGGAAAGAGGCGGAGGAGAGTGAGGTTGATACTGTGTATGCACCACCTCTCAGAAGTGGGTCGCTGTCTTCACTCTCTCCCCCACATTCAAGCAAGGATCACATCAGTTATGCAAAATGAATAAGTTTTAGAGAATTGCTGTACAGCTCTATGGCTATACTGTATTGTGCACCCAAAAATTTGTTAAGAGGGTAGCTCTCGTGTTTAAGTGTTTTTATCACAATAAAAGGAATTAAAAATATTCTTTGAGATTTGGATTTACATATGGTTTCAATGTGTTTCCCAATAGTAAATTTTAAATATTTTAAAATACTTATTAAGCAAATAATCTGATTAGTATAAGGTAATCACTATGACAAGTTACATACATGGAACAATAGGTTGCAATTTTAAGAAATTCAACACAACACAGCCAACAGCAAGGAAACTGACCCATGTGACATCAACGTCGCAATGAGAAACAGAGTGATATCTTTTTTTTTAGCAAGACAAAACCCTGTTGAAGTGAAACACAGAGTTTGCTCATATGAATATTAAACTTGTAGACTATGACTCTACAGTGCCTGGAACCATGTTTTACTAATCTTTGTATTTATGCTTCAGACAGTTCCTGACATTCAATCAATTTGTGAGTAATACATAAAAAATAATACAGTTTACAAATGAAAATAAACTAATTAACTAAAATGTGCAATGTAAACATCACTTCTTAACATAAATGCTTATTCTCTTCAAAAATAGTTTTATAGGTAAAGAAATATTGAATGACTTTTCATGTTATATTTTGATTTGATAACCAAACTGATTGAAATCTTAAAAATTTGGACAACTCAACAAATTGCAAACACCACAATCACATGAAGAAGATTCTGAATTTCATTCTTAGTGCTTAGGAAGAAAACGAAATAAAGAGCCAAGTCTTTTCAAATGAAATAGCTTGAAACAAAAGTGAGACAAAGAAAATGACTCAATGGAGCTGAAAAACTGTACCAGGGTCAAAGAATTTATTTTCCTTGGCCTAACTCAGAATCAAGAACTGAACTGGGTCTTATTCCTTTTCCTGCTTTGGGTGTATGTGACAACTCTGCTGGGAAATCTCCTCATCATGGTCACGGTGACCTGTGAATCTCGCCTTCACACCCCCCTGTATTTTTTGCTCCGGAATTTGTCTATTGCCGACATCTGCTTTTCCTCCATCACAGCTCCCAAGGTTCTGGTGGACCTTCTGTCAGAGAGAAAGACCATCTCCTTCAATGGCTGCTTCACTCAGATATTTTTCTTCCACCTCATTGGAGGGGTGGATGTATTTTCTTTGTCAGTGATGGCATTAGATCGGTATGTGGCCATCTCCAAGCCCCCTGCACCACGTGACCATCATGAGTAGAGGCCGTTGCATTGGGTTAATAGTGGCCTCGTGGGTGGGGGGCTTTGTCCACTCCATCGTGCAGATTGCCCTTTTGCTGCCCCTCCCCTTCTGTGGACCCAATGTTCTTGACACTTTCTACTGTGATGTCCCCCAGGTCCTCAAACTTGCCTGTACTGACATTTTTATGCTTGAGCTGCTGATGATTTCCAATACTGGACTGCTCACCACATTGTGGTTTATCTTCCTGCTTGTGTCCTACACAGTCATCCTAATGATGCTGAGGTCTCAGGCAGGGGAGGGCAAGAGGAAAGCCATCTCCACCTGCACCGCACACATCACTGTGGTGACCCTGCACTTTGTGCCCTGCATCTATGTCTATGCCCGGCCCTTCACTGCCCTCCCCACAGATAAGCCCATCTCCGTCACCCTCACTGTCATCCCGCCTCTGCTTAACCCTTTAATCTACACTCTGAGGAACCAGGAGATGATGTCAGCCATGAGGAGACTGAAGAGAAGATTTGTGCCTTCTGATGAGAGATAGACTGGTTGCTCACTCCTCCTCACCACCTTTGAAAATGTTTGTCCATCAAGTAAACTGTATTGCGTAAAGGATTTCTAAATAATTTTGATATTTCTACCAAGATAACACATGACTTTCGAAGATTCTGATCAGCATGCAATAATAATGTGAAAAGATAGGTTTCATGTTATGAAAGAAAGTAGAGAAATCAAATTGTTAGCTGGAGAGGTGTTTATTGCTTCTTCAATACAGTCTTGGAAGAACTAAAGAAATCAGAATCGAAATACACTCAGACAATTTTATCACATTGGAATTGTTCTGGGGCTTATTCTTCCAGCTCTATTGTAGTGTATTTGACAAATAAACAATGGCATATATATATAAGTACAACAATATTTTGATATACGTATAGACTGTGAAATGATCACTGGGGGAAACAGATTAACTTGCGATCTGTCTCTCTGTTCTTTCTCTTTTTTTTTTTTTGAGGAAGATTAGCTCTGAGCCAACAGCTGCTGCCAATTCTCTTTTTGCTAAGGAAGACTGGGCCTGAGATTACATCCATGCCCATCTTCCTCCACTTCATATGTGGGACACCTACCACAGCATGGTTTGCCAAGTGGTGCAAGGTCCGTAACCAGGATCCAAACCAGTGAACCCTGAGCCGCCGAAGCAGAATGTGCACACTTAACTGCTGCGCCACTGGGCTGGCCCCTCTCTGTTCTTTCTTAAAATTGCATCAGAATTTCTAATTGTCTAAATAAAAGTATCAGTAAGAAAAGTAAAAATATATATACTCAGACATTCCCACTACATTCCTGTTCCCAGGAATGGAGCTGAGACACATATGAGAAAATAATGCTCTTTCATGAAAGTAATCACATCTTAGTGAAGTAAACAATCCAAATTAAGTCCCTCCTCTGATTCTATTATAGGATAAATTACGTAACTATTACCTGAATATTTTTCCATCTAAAGCCCACACTCATGTGGTTGAGAGCAGATGCCTTGAAGTTAGCACAGCTTGAGTTAGAATATAGACCTCAACAACCATGAGTCCTGTGACCTCATGAAAGGTCTTTACCCTGACTTTCCTCTGAACCCCAGGCCTGCTTGCCATGCCTTCACTGCTTTCCCTCAGTGCCCTGGGCTTAGCTTGAGTACAGAACTCATGACCTGGTTTCTAATTCCCTGTCCTCCTTCTTCCTGTCTCCCTCAGTAGAATTATGCTTTATTTATTATATCCCCAGCATCTGGCCCAGAAAGTAGAACAGAGAAAACACTCATAAAAATTGTTGAATTACAAAACTCAGTGAATGACTATCACCTCTAACTCATTTCTGCTCAAGTCATTGGATAATATGGTTAAGAAAACAATTGATACATTGTTATTATTTTCTGTTAACATGACACTCTAAAAATGACAGAAACATATGAAGCTGCTTTCAACTGTGCATTTGCATTCAAATAGGTTGGTATGAAGTAGAAAACATTATTCAGTATATCAGCTTGGCTTTTATTGTTTACTTATTATGCCTTTTACAGCTGCTGGGAGTTTGGGGGGTTTTTCCTCTGATTTCTGGAGGTAGATTCTAGATTTTAAAATCTTTGAAACAAGAAATATGTTCATGTTGCAGTACAAATCTCAGTCCAAAAATCAGACATGCAATGTCCATGCGAGGGGGGTGTGTCCAGAGCATCCAAGAAACAGTAAGCAGGCCTCTGTAAGTAGATGAGAGGAGGAGAGAGGTAACAGTTGAGGTTGGAGACATAATGGGGCCATAGGTCCAGGTCTTTAGGAATGTTTAGACCACTGTGAGGATTTTGATTTTCACATTGAGGAGAATGGGATGCATTCAGAGGACTTTGAAGAGCAGAACAATGATGCAGGTTTTAACAGAATTGCAGGGGCTACCATTATGAATAGACTGATGAGGGATGGAGACAAAAACAGGTAGACCAATTAAGAGGCTACTGCAATAGTCCCGTGAAAGAAATAGTGAAGACATGACTTAGCATAATAATGGTGGAGGTGTTAAGAATTGTCTTTCATGAAGTAATCACATTTTAATGAAGTAAGCACACTCAAATTAAGTTCCTCCTTGGACTCTCTTATATGAATAAATTAAATAACCATTACCTGAAGATTTTTCCATCTAAAGCCCACACTCCAGTGGTTGAGTGCAAGTTCCTTGAAGCTAGCACAGCTTGAGTTAGAAGGTGGACCCCAATAACTGTGGGTTCTGTGACCTTGTGTGGGTCCTTATCCTGACCTTCCTCTGAACCCCACACCTACTGGCCACACTTCCATGACATTGCCTCAGTGACTGGGGCTCAGCTTGAGCACCACACTCAGGACCTTGTTTCCAATTCCCTGTCCTCCTTCTTCCTATTCCTCAAGTAGGACTACGCTTTCTTTATTGTGTCTCCAGCACCTGGCACAGCAAGTATAACAGAGAAAACTGTCCAAAAAACGGTTGAATTAAAGACCTCAGTGAATGAATATCGCCTCTCACTCATTGCTGTTCCTCAAATCATTGGAGAGTAGGGATAAGAAAACAATTGATTTGTGATTATTCTCTGTTAACACGACTCCCTAAAACTGACAGAAACCTATGAAGCTGCTTCAGACTATGCATATACATTCAAAAACATGGGCATGAACTGCAAAACATTATTCAACATATGAGCTTGGTTTTGATTTGTTTATTTTTCTGCTATTTACAGCTGCTGGGAGGTTTTCTTTTTTGCCCATCATTTTTGAAGGTAGATCCTAGATCTTAAAATTTTGAAACTAGAAAAATGTGCACATCCACAGTACAAATGTCAGTTCAAAAATCAGACATGCAAAGGTCTTCAGGTGGGGGATGTGCCCAGGCCTTTGTAGATGAACAAACCAGAAAATGGCAAAAGACACGATCCAAACTTACAAAAGAAGATATTCAAATGCCAATTAAATTTCATTAATTATCAGGGAAATGTTAATTAAAATTATAGCAAGAAACTAAACCTACCTACCAAAATGGCTAAACTGAAAAAATGAAAATATCAAGAGATGGTGAGGACGTGGAACAATTGGTACTCTCATAGCCTGCTGGTGGGTCTGTAAAATTGGATAACCGTGTTGCTGTTTGATTGTATTGACTGATGCTATATATCTATATCTACATATATAGTATATCTATCTACTATGTATATTGGTATGTATATCTGTATCAATCTAATCATCTATCTTAGTAGATTACTATATATATACATATAAATTGTTTTCAGTTGTTGAGTTGTTAATTATATACATACATACATATTTATATATATATATGTGTGTGTGTGTATATCTCCATCCTAACAACAATCTATATCACCCCAGAAATAAGTAGATATGATATGTCCACCAAAAGACATATCCTAGAATATTCCTAGCAGCATTGTTTGTAATTGAGTCAAAATGGAAAACGGCACAATTGCCTACCAACAGTAGAAAAAATAAATAGCTTGTTAAATTCATAGAATACTACACAGCAATGGGAATGAGCTACATATATTACATGAAACAACACAAATGAATCTCAAAAACCCAATGTCAAGTCAAATAGTCCAGGCACAAAAGAGTGTGAAATCTCTTATTTTTTTTCACATAAAGAACGAAAAAATTACAAAACCAAAGGGAATATGAGGGAGGCTTTTCAGGTACCGATAATGTTCTGTTTCTTGATCTCAGCGCTTGTTACAAAATATAATCTGCTCGGGGGAAATTCATTGAGCTGTACACTTATGTGCATTTTTCTGTATGTATGTACATCATCCTTCAGTAGAATATTAAGAATAATTAACATGGTGATCATAACATTTTAATTTCATGTGAAAAATGACTTTCATTTAAAGTGAAATTTAATTGACCACCACTTCATAGTGGTTACCTTTATAGTTATATAGTTACAGTCTTTACCAGTTACAACCTGAGAATTATGTTTTTCTTTCTCTCACCTACAGACTTTAGGTCCTCTCAAATTATTGTGTTATTCAGGTTGCCATGCTGTCCACTAGTAATTTTTTCTCAGATTCTGGTTTCAATTTCTCTACTTTTTTCATTTTCTCTTTAAATCTTAGAAAATATCTTTAAGAGACCACGTTTCTCCAACCAGCAATCTCCGTTTTGCTCACACAGAAGAATAAGATAGGAGCCCCATTTCTGACTCCTTGCCATCAGTTAGGATTCATCTCAATCTCTCCCTCTTTGATGTTTATGTCAACAAAATCGAGTGATAAGAATGAATGTGCAGAGTAATGAACGTAGGAGATTTCAGGTCTCTAGAATCCCAGAAGTAAGAATTCCCCACACTATATATTGCCATGGCTTGAAAGTGGAGAAATCATCCCCAAAGGAGTCTTCGGTTAATCTGGCATGTAGAAATATATTTTAATGAATGACAGCAGCCCACTCTAGAATCTTTCTTTTGGATATTGGAATGATAAGTCAATGGTTTTCAAATATCCTACTCAGGAAACCACTGTGACAAGCCTAACAGCTTCCTGTGTCACCTGTCCTCTCTCTTCCTCTTTTCTTTCTCTTTCCTGTTTCTTTTACTTTTCCTACTTTATTTCCTTCTGTGTTCCTTCCTCTAGATACCATTTTTATGACTGTATTAGGGTTCACCAGCGAAACAGAGCTAATAGGATATATACAGATATATAAAGGAAAATTATCATGAAGAATTGGTTCACGTGATTATGGAGGTTGAGAAGCCCCATGATCTGCAGTCTGCAAGCTGGAGACTCAGGAAAGCTGGTGGTGTAGTTGAATCTTAGTTTGATGGCCTGAAAACCAGGGGAGTCAATGGTGTAAATCCTAGTCTGAAGGCAGAAGATGAGATGAGATGTCCTAGCTCAAACAATGAGGCAGGAAAATGGGGGTGAATTTCTCCTTCCTCCACCTTTTGTTCTATTTAGGCCCTCAATGGATGATGTCTGCATTTGTTGGGGAGGCAATTAATGTGTTTTACTCAGCTCATCAATTGAAATTCTAATCTCATCTGGAAACACTGTCACAGACACACCCAGAAATAATGCTTAATCTTGGCACCCTGTCATCCATCAAGATAACACATAAAATAAACCATCATAATGTCATTGAGATGGTCTTTTTGAGGGAAATGTGACTCAAACAGATCTTTTCCTTAGGAATTTTACAGTTAAGCCAATAAAGGTGTTGCAGGCTGTGGAGTCAGCAGAAAGAAAAGTGAGGAGTTACAAAATCATGGGGATGTATAGGAAAATAGTCCCATTTGGGCATATAATGTTGGTAAACTCCATCCAGGAGGTGTGCTGAACAGTATCACGTCCCACCCTTGCATTTTGGATACACATATGTGCATCATCTGGAGCATTTAAGCAATTTAGATTTTACCACTTCCTAGTTGGTGTGACCTTGGGTAAGTTACTCCATAATTGTACCAAACCAATGAAAAATACATGTGAGGTTCACAGGGCAGGGCTTGGAGTCAGTTCTTAGCC